CACCGCCGGACGCGGGGCAGCACAGCGCATGCGCCAGCCCGGCGCCCGCGACCGCCGGTTAGAGGACATGGCAAAGGACGCCGCCGGGCTGCGCATGCGCCGCAGCTGTACCGGCTGCCGATCCCGGCGAGCGGAGAGCGCGGCAAGCAGGGTCGGAGAAGAACTGCGCATGCACCAAGGCGTGCGGCATCACCCAGCGCATGCGCCGTCTGAAGACGGCGGGGAAAGTGCGCTTGCGCTGAGGGCGGGGCGCATGCGCGTAGCGGCGGCGGGTGGGGGGGCGTGGTCGGCCGCGATCTGGTCGGCCCTGCCCGGGACGGTGCTCGCCGCCATTTCGTGCTCAGGCGGGGGCGCGGGAGGCTGGCAGCGGCCCGGCCCAGCCCGGCGGAGTCTCCCCCTCTGAAGAAAGCCCGTCTGTGTGGCGTGGCGGCCGCTGTGGGGGGTAGGCGGCTAGGCCGTTGCTGTGGAGCCGCAGGGAGGGGAGGCGGGGCTGCCGCCTGTGCGGCGCCCGGCTGCCCAGTCTTGCCGGGGCTGGCCTGGCCTCGCCGGCGCGGCTTGTGCCTGTATGGGGAGAGAGGCTGGTAGGCCTGGTCTCTCAGATCCCTGGCCCTGAAACCACCACGGGCCGGCCCACGTGCAGTGTTTGCTCAGGAGTGGTGTCTGATCCGAAGGCAGCCCAGGTTTTGGAGCCCAGCGCTTTTAGGTGGCCTGCTTGTGCTATAGCAGTACATTACAGGCCATGATTTGCTGCAGTTACACGTAGATTTGAATATCCCCTTTTAAATATGAACATGTGTCCTGTTAGTGAAGTTTCCTACATGGAATTGCTAATGACAGCTTATGATCAATTTGCAGACCTTAGCAGTTCTGAATAAGGAATGCTCCATTGAAAGATTTGTTACTAGGAATGCATCAGACAGAAGTAGGTGCTGTATGTTGCATTTAGATTTCCAGCACGTTTCTAGTAAAGATGCACTATGCACCTGGCTGATGTGTTCTGTGTGGCTGATGACAGTACTTGAAATCAACAGATTTTTGCTAAGTGATAGCTAACTAACTGCCAGTAATGAGTTCTCAGAACTGCTACAGGTTTGCAGTTTTTCACTTGTTTTTTCCAAAATGGTTTGCTGAGTCCAAGCTTAGTCCAAGCTTCAGAGTTGATTTCAAAGCTCCCTTTCATAAGTCAAAACAACTGTGTCAAGTCTTAAAGCTTCAGAAGTATGTTTGCTTGCTGCTGAGAGCAGTTTTGTGTGAGTTTACTTTGAAATTAAGCGGTGTATGTCCACTCAAGGTGAGATTTTGGTGTAGTAGATGTGATTCAAGTATGTGTCAGCTTCTGTCATTCTTTCATGAAACGTGTTTAGCGTTTGCAGATGTTTCTAGTACATGACTTTTAGTTTTCTGCAACATATGTATAAAAAATAAATACTTTCCGATTGATAACTGGTGCAGTGTGTAACAGTAAGCATTTTTATGCCTGGGAATAGGGTCTAAGTTAAAAATAACGCAGAAGCTTATAAACAGAATATTATATATTTTTAGCAAAATTATCATATTAAAGGGTTGTATGTGCATGTATTTATCAGTCAAGTCTTCCTGAGGCTGATAATTTTCTACTTCAGAGAATATACACAAGTATGCTGGAATTTGTTTAATAAGCCAAAGCATGCATATACCTTCTATGAATTTTAGCTGTGAAATTGGTTTGACCAAGAAATCATGTTAAGTAGCTAACTGCAGATTAAAAAATAAGGATCACTGTAATAGCATATGGCAAATAGGTAATTTCTGAGTTAATGTGATTGGTTAATAAAGCAAAAAAACCTTGTAAAATACTGACAGAAAATAGAAAACTTAATTAAGGGGCTTGAGATAGAATGGGAGAAAAGAGCAATAAAAAGACAGTTTAAGTTATTGGTGGAGATAAACATGATGTTCATTTGAAGATCCAGTTGTCCTCATATTAAGTCTTTATGGCCTAGCTGCTAATTTAAAGGGTGAGTTTTGCATAGAAGGATTTGATAATAATTGTGTTGTAACTTTATATTGTATTTATTGTGGGCAAATTTTTCTTTGTAATTCCTTTGGCCTGCTCTTGAGCTCCTGTTTTCCATAACTGGTAAGCAAACCCAACAAACCAAGTTTCAGAATATCATAGAGTTCTACCTGAAAGCCAGTCTTTTAATAAGAAAGACATGCACTACCGCTATTCCATAACTAAAGCAAAGTGACTAATACAGTTTATCTCAGAATTCACAGTTTGTGCTTCTTCACTTCTGAGTGTTCTTTGAGATTGCATCAGAGAGACCTGGGGTTCTTTCCAAGGCACTGAGAATATCTCTTTCCTATCAAAATGACATTCTTTTAAAATTTCTGCCTTTTTTACTGGCTCGTCCCTGCATTCTTCCTTCTCTGTGATGGTTCAACCAGATGGTCTATCTCCTGATTACACTAACCAACCACAGCATGAATTGTTCTGTGCCTGGTGATCTTCTTTAGCCAAATTAGCTCAGTTAGTGTCATTCAAACAGTAGTTCTAACTCTCTGTTTAGACATCCCAAGCATGTAGGTGTCCTTGCCACGTCCTCGGACAAAGAGTAAAAAATAGTAAGCCATGTTGATGAGACAGTTCATGAAATCAATCCAGAAGTGATACAGTAGGAGGTTCCCCAAATTGCCAAACTCTTTTTCAGTACATAATTTATTTTAAAATATAACAACTCCAAGACATGAGAATTAGAGTACATTCAATAATTACCTGATTTTGAAAACAAACCAAAAAAAAGAACCCCAAACCACCCACATAGCATTTCACAGTTTATTATCTGTTTAACACTGGGGAGTCTTAGTATTATCCTGTGTCTTAATGAACGGTGTAGGCACCCTAAGAAGGCCTTGCTATAGCTGTGACTTCTCTTCCCTTTTCTGTCTCACCAATGAATTTATCTTGCTGTGAAGTCTTGCAAATTGCAGTATGATTTGATATCTGGACAAGAGTCTTATTTATTCTGGCTTTACATGTATGGAACATAATTGACTGATGGATTTATGCCTAGTAACAACATAAGAGCAGAATCAGATACTGTTTACATAGCAATGCAAAATATTATTAAAAATATCTGAAAAGTGATCCTCGTAATGTGGATATGTACTAGTTCTTATAGTGTCTTGGTTATGTAAAGGAAATGAAAGAACTCAAGGTAAGCAATTTAAACATTTGTTTTCTTTACATAGATTATAAATACATATTTTGGATACTTTTTTTAATTGTATAAGAATATATTTCTGTTCTTATCATCTCTTAGCTAACAGTAGAGCAGAGTCTCGGCACTGTCCTGTGTGCTTCTGTTGTACTGTTTTTTTTGGAGGCTCGCCACACTTACTTAGGTCACTCTGGCAAAAGAAGTTGCAGTGAATATTATTTATCATCATTAAATGATTTTCTTGATCTTGTGTCCAAACATGAGATGCATGTAGTGCCTTAGTTAAGGTTACAGTTTTATGGTTCTATAAATGCAAGTGTATCACGGGGTGTGGAAGAGTTCACAGTGTACAATTTCATTTCATCAGAACAATTAAAGATAAGTTGGAAGTTTGTTTCAGTTTGTTTTGTTCCCTTATTGTCTGTTAATTTAGGATAAAGATAGTAACTAATTGGTTAAAACTAAAACAATACAGAGGTATTGCATCAGTGATATGTACCCAGCTTCTTCCTCATCCTATGCCTGTGATTTAACTTGCTGGGTACTGCTATTCTTGATGTTACTCTTGGGTTATTCTGCTTTTGCATCACTGCTCTCTGTGGTGCTGTGCCCCCTGCTTCTTTGTTCAGTTTCAAGTTATTAAATCTAGTCAAGTAAGTACTATAATTGGCTGTCATTGACTGTATAAAGCTTTGCATCGTATCAGCCTGAGAGAGAGATTAGTGTTTGGTGATGTAATATGGCGGGATCTACAACTAGTTAAAGGCTAAACGTTCTCAGATTTGTTTTAATTTATGTAAATATGTTACCAGATTTTGTTAATGTAGCCCTTGAGACTAAATTAGCAAATAATTTATTTTCTTAATGAGAGTTGTTGAACCAATGAGGGCACAGATAATCTTATTATACCATCCAAACCTCGTGTTACATTTGACAAGATTTTAGAGAAGTCATGTGTAATACTTTCCTGTGGGTCGAGTCTGCTTGTGTTACAGTTGTACAAGGTCAGACCTTAATTTATCTAGCAACTGCGTATTTAATTTTAGAAGTATCACAGGACACATCAGCTTGCAGGGCACCATTCCTGGCTGTTCAAAATGCAGGCCCCAGAGTAACAGTGGCAAGATAATGGGTTGAAAAGGTGAGAATATATGGTATGCTCGCCAATTAGACTAACAGAGAAATGGTTTAAAACTGTAATATTTAATAGATTGAGTCCAAATTTAGACTGCTATTAATTATTTTATTGCTATGAATAACCTCTTTGCATGCCTAAGGGCCTTCTATTTATAGAGAGCAAAGCTAGGATTGTCTAGTTTATTTTAAGGATAAGAAATTAGAATAACATTAACACTCACATAACTTTAACGTTATACCTATGTGTTTAAAAGTGATGAACGCTTGATAACACTTCTTTCTAAGGAAACATGCAACTTCTGTGATTAGCAAGTAGTTCAGATTTTTTTCAATTAAAAAATGGTAACTTAAGAGCAAAACTTTCTTTTTTAAGGAAAACAGCAAGAATTAATACCTAATTTTTCAGGCATAAATAGACAAAAATACTAGACTACTCAAAATGTTGTTTAAGACAAATATTCTTGGTAATACAAAAAGTAGA